TCGAACGGTTCTCTATTGTTACTAATGTTATTTTATACTGCGTTTGGACCAATTTTCAAGCATCAATTACCTTCAACACAAGAAATATTTAAAATTATACACTTCAAATTGAATGAAATGTAACATTTTTTATAATTCATTCACTTGGGGTTGCAGCATCAAGAAGATGAAAATATTCATCCACCGACATCATAAATGATATCAATTGAAAAGCACATTGTTTGTGCATTTCGATATAATCGATGCTGTTGATTCAGTAGATCGATAGGTTATAAATAAATTGGTTTCTACGTGAAACAATAGTGTACTTAAGGTCTCACAGCAGTTGATAATAGAAAAAACCTTTCAGTGAAATCATGAAAATATTTTATGAAGGAAAAAATTCGAACAGAAAAAAAAACAAAAGAAACAATGCATAATATACAGAAGATAAAAATAAATTCACAGGTGTAGTTATATTGTTACTAAGAAAAGATAAAATTCACTATATTCCCTTGATCATATAATAAAAGCGTGGTTGGACAATCGTTCAAGCAATAGACAGCAATGTAAAGCATATTTATAAGTGGGTGTGTCTAGCATACCATGAGCCAGATTTTGCCTCGGCTAAGACGTTCGTCAGAGGGCGCTTTTTGAATGAATTATAGATGGTTAGTTTTCTATAAAACAAATAAGATTGATGAAATAGTATAGATAATTTCTTGTCGAACTTCTCTTCGTATTTCATATTTTCATTAGATTTTATTGTTATTGAGTGATAATTTACTTATGGTAACAGAGTTTCGAAAGAGTAACCTTTATACATATGAGTGTCAGTGTGAGTGTGTATGTAAAAAGTCGTTATACTCATATCCCATCATGTAGTCCATATAATGTCTCGGATACATGAGTAAGATCAGATGATTAAGCAAAGAGTTATAGTTTATTATTGAGAGCTACGTATAATACAGAATCACTATTAAATTTAAAAGATATAATAGAACGTATCAGAAGTTAATAATGAATGAATGATAAGAATGAATCAAAAAGTTCACCTTCAATATAAATAAGTTATGATACGATTACAAAAAGTGATAGACAAAGTCATTTATTGTTATTATAAAAATCAAAATGAGATATATAAAGAAACACGTTCTTAAAATTTTACTTGATTTTTAGATTACTATGAAGACTGATTTCACAACGATGGACGAAAATCTTAAGTATCTATATTTTCTTCTCATATGCTCTGCTCGCTTCTGTATAATCTCTAAGTGTTTATCAAATCAAGTGTAAAACATGAGATAATGTTCGAAAGAGTACAAGAGTTAGTCTTATCAAATTTGATACTAGAATGCAACAATAGAATGATCATTGATTGTATTTCTCACAACAAACAACGAATTCATTATTCGAATCAATGTAGAACAATGAAATGTATTGTCATAGGCAAACTTTCAAAATCTTAAAAGTACTTTAAGGAATTAAGTTAATTCCCGATTATTCATTTATCATAGAGCTCAAAGTTCATGTGAATCAAATTCTTGGGTCTCAACAAAAATAAGTTTCTGAACAGAATGTATCAACAATCGAATCAAACAAAAAATAACTGATTTAACTTTCGTGAGTTAATATTGATCGCCAACAAAAGAAATTTTTTACTGTTTATTAAATAATTTAACTTTCACATAGTGTTTATGATTGAATATTTTTCAACATAGTCAAACATATCGAAATAGGAAATTTTGTGTAAGTTTTTCCGAGTATATGACAATAGTAATCATAATCGATTCAGGAAAAAATAGGAAAATCAATCGATATTATACTATATTTTTAAATAGAATTCGATTGACATTTTTCAATAGCTGAATTAATTCTATAACAAAAATTATCAAAAATTCATTTGGTGTTATAAAAAAAAAAAAATTTTATTTAAAATAATTATAGTTTAATACTGAATAATAACAGTCAGTTTTTTTTTGTATGTATTTTTCAACTTTTTTTTTTTTTACATTAGTGTAAATATACGCATATAACATTTTTGTTTTACCTTGAAGTAATTCATAATGTGTCAACAAAATATAATCAATAAAATTTTTTAATAGTCATATTTTATGTGTATTTTGTTACTTTTATTCATAATATAATAAGAATGGTTATGTATCAATGTTTGATAATAAAACAAACAAATTTTGCTTAATGAATAGAGGAAGAAGTCACAGTTAAAAAGCACAAATAATTATAAAGAATATCATAACATTGATATCAGTAAAGGTGACAGATAGAATAACACGTATTACTTCTTTTTTTTTTCCTCATAGTAAGTTTTAAAATGACCGATGGCATGATAAAGTGTTGGTAGTATTATTAGACGTTTTTTTTTTCTTTTGAAACTTCTATCGATATACATTGCATGTTATTCTAATGAATTCTATCATCAAGATTTTATTTGGTTGGTCACACACGATAAGATGATTTCTATTGTTGTTGTTTTTTTTTTTTTCTGAAATCGATGATGTTAATAAATTTATCTATTCTGAATTTATCTTTAGTATGCTAGATTTGAAGTTTATCATGTATTCGATTATTCAATTTTCTAATTTGATTTATAGAATAACAATAGAATATATGATTGAATTGATAATTTATATAAAAAAGAATATATATATATATATATATTTTTTTTTCCGAATATTACTTCTATTATATCTATTTAAGATATGTTTTATTCTTTGACATTGTATTATAAAATAACGTTAGAAACTCGTTTGTTTTTTTTTCTATTTTATTCTCATGATCTATTTACCAAAAGAGAAAAAGAATAATATTCTTTTCTTTTTTTTTTTTACACATCGAGATATATATTTAACTAAAAATTGTTCTATGATCTAGGCTCTTGTAACACGCTAACATGTACTAATATTAGAAACAGTTAGGGTTCAATTCATTGGATCATTGCATATATAAAAATAGGCAAATGTTTTTTCTCTCTTTGTGTCTCGTCTTCTCTTTGTTGCACTCATTCTCTTTCCTTTTTTTTTTTGACACTTGAACTAAACAAAAAAAAAAGAAGCATGATGGTGACAAAGATCGTGCATGATAGAGAAAAATCAAAATTGCTTGATCGTTCCCTATCAGGTAAATATAAATGAATACTTTTGCACTTTTGATGAAATACAAACATAAAATGTTTTCTATTACTGTCAAATATAATCATTAGATAACATTAAACTGTAAATTAAACTTTATATAGATAAAAATCATTTGAAAAGTAAAACTATTTTAAGATAAATATTCTATTTTAACATACTATGTTATGTCTAAACCACTCAGATAGCAAGTTACAATCTGCTAATAATGTAAGACAACATTATCTGCGTAGGAGGATCTACACGTTTTCTTGTTCCTAACAAAAAACGTTTTTCTCTCTATCGCACTGTTTAGGATTCTTCTTTTTTTTTTTATCGTCGTCGTTCTTGATTGTTTTGTATCGTTATATGTCTATGCAATAAGCATTGTGTTGCTTTGATACCAACGAAGACGTTAGTGGGCACAGCTTGCTCTTCTGCTTCGTCTTCTTCTTCTTCTTCTTTTTCTACGTCTCTTACTTTTTTTCGCACAAAAAAAAGAAGAAGAAAAAAAAAAGAAGCAAAGAAGAAACAGTGCGACATACAACGGGTCGACGACAACAACAAAATAAGACGACAAGGGAGTAGAGAATCGTAAGGATATAAGATGCGTTAAGATTGTTGACGACAACATTCTGCAAACGTTTGAAAATGTATAATGAAAATAGTATAAGTTTGATTTGATAGACAGTCGCTATTCTCACGCAATCATCATACCCAATAGTCACATTTATTCTAGCAATCAATGATAATGAAGTTCAGGTACAAATTTTGTTAATATAAAATCTTAGTTTTTCCTTGTTTCTTATTGTTTTTTTTTCTTTTATACGATTGTCAGTAATTATATTTTGAAAACAAAAATAAGAAACTAATTCTTATCGTCACTTGATATAATTCTATTTTTCAAAGAGAGACAAAAATAAGTTTTTTTTTTTTTATGATAACTACTATGTCCAATTATATATCTGACTGTGTCTTATTTTCTTAAGTAAGCACTTTTATCCCATTAGTCGGTCGATAGGAATGAGATATATATATATAATATATCTAGTTGTTCTCTTCGTGTTTGTAGATGCGTGTATAGATGATTGTCTAGTTATTATATGGTACAAAAATATTTTGGACTAGTAAGAAAAAAAAAATTATCATGTATAGATTATGTCAATGAATTTATAAATTATTTTCTTTTTTTGTTTTTGTTTAATGTCAAGTTCACTTTTTCTTTTTTTGTACTTCTTATATAAAATTATATACTTTAACATGAGATAAAGAATCGTATTGCTTAATAATAATGCTACGGATTTATGCGTAGGCGAAAGGATGTACGAATGATTGAATGTAGTAACTTTTTTTCTTTTTTTTCTTTTGAGTTTGTTTTTAGCACTCTTTAACTTCGTCTTCAAAAGATATATTTGTTCATTTTTTTTCTTTTTTTAGTATTTATAAAATCTATTTTAAGTTAATAATATTTTTAGTATATTGATAAAAGATCTATACGTACATAGAAGATAAAATATAAAAAGAAAAAGTACTTTGTTTTTCTTACATGACATTGGTTTATGATTATTAACTTCTTTCTATCAGTAAAAAAAAAAAGAAAAAAGATAAGACGAAATGAATAGAAAGATTATATTAAACGATATCACTATTCATCGATCGTAATAACCAAATCTTTCGAAGTTCAAGGCAAATGTTTTTAAAAAAAAAAAAAAAAATTTTTTTTTTTTTCTTCTGCTTTCTATTTATAGATTTTAATAGTGACAAGAGAAAAAAAAAGCAAACGATAACATAATTATCACATATCTAAATGTTTAGAATCTTAGTCATATGATGTAAACGATGATTACCATCCATAGAAGATGGAAAAATTTTAGAAATAAATTGGATTAAAAAATGGCTATGAATGTCATCACAAAAAAAAGTCCAACAACAACTGCTGCTACTTCACGCACACCTTATCTTTCAATGATGACATCTAACGTAACCAGTAATAATAATAATATAAAACGGCGTGAAACTTCAATCGGTGAAGATTCAGTAAGTAAAAAAAAAACAATCATAAATGGACCTTTTCCCCTTGTTTTTGTTTAGGTGTAAATTTAATAAGAATTAAGGGGAAAAAAAAAGAAATGATTTATGCTTCATATATATATATATTTTTTTAGCATAAGACAAGAAGAAAAACAAAAGTCAAAGGTTGATATCTATCATATGCATCTCATTTCAAACAACATGCAATAATTCATTGTCTTCTTTTGATAAAAAAAAAAAAATATATATATATATGTCTATGAAAAGAAAAAAAAAGAATGGATCACACATCATATACAATAAAAGAAGTGTTCTACATAGTATACTGTATTATGCTATAAAAATACATTGATTATCTATTTATTTGTTTTTCTTGTCTGTTTACTAAGTCATTTATTCCAATCGAATGAACAATATTATCATTGTATGATAAAACAAGTTTTTATTTTTTATTTTCTCATTTGTACATTTACAATAAGAGATAATCGAGAGATCGTATATATCTGTAGTGTCTTTTTCTTCCTTTTCCTTTCGTTTTGATCTATGATGATTTCTCAGAATAAATCAGCAATTAATGTACAAGTTATCATAGCTATCGCTTCACCAAATATGATTAGTATTGATGAAGAGTATGTTATATTTCTTTATGTGGGTGTTAGTTTCATGGTTATCATACATATAAAAGATCAGTAGTTATTCTTTTTTTTTCTTCTTTCGGTTGTTTTTGAAAAAAAAGGCAAAACATCATTATACATATACATATGACTGACGTAGTGTCTCTTTTACTTCTTTCAGTTTTTTTTTTCTTCTTCTCTCCTTATTATTGATGATGGGAGGATAGAAAACGATTGTGCATATGTCCATCTTGAGATATTACCAGTACTGACAAACAACAATAAATGTCACATTAAACCAGCTAAGGTATCAATTGAATGAAAGAAAAATCGTTTTTTGTTTTTTTTCTTCATTCTAAATATGATAGAGAGAAACTAAACAGCTGTCGACTCGATTAAAAATCTCAATGACTATTGATACTACTATTTTAACTATGTATAAATGATATAATATTGAAAATATATTTATTTGAATTGATATAATGCGAAAAAAAAAAATGAAAAATAATAATAATATTGAGACTTTTTTTTTTTTTTTTTGTTACTTCCTTGCCTGCTTGTCGAGAGACAACAACAATCAAGAAGAACATTTGAAGTGTAATTCATGTTGAGTAATACTTTAATCCAAACATGCAATAAAGATCTTAATGCGATTTTGTTAAATTATGAATTATATATGAAGAAAAGATTAATTTATTAGTTGAGTTTTTATATCACAACACAATCATGACATCGTAAGATCTTTTTTTTTTTTTTTTTTTTTCTTTGTCTCTCTGTTGATGTGATGTCGCGGTATGAACTAATTTTCTTTTGAAACAAAAAAAAAAAGAAAAGGAACCGGAACGATAGATCGGAAATGACTTGTCAGAAATATTTCAATAGTTTTTCTTAAAAGTTATAAACTTTTATCTTAGATGATCAGCAAAAAACAAAAAAAAAAAAAAAGAAAACATCAAAATTTATATCAAATTTTTGATTAATAGATTTCGTGACACTCGTGGATAAATAGAAAAAAGAAAAAGTAATACGATGATTAATAGACTCATAAAATATTCCCTCATCTGTATAACACTTGAAAAATGTTTTATCTTTTCTATATCTAATTGCTCAATCAAAACTTAGAGTAAGTACATAAATTGTATCGTTACGATCATAAATCATATATATATATATCATCAACAATTATAGAATTTCAAAAAAAAAAAAACAATAAATAAATATTTTGAAACTATTCTTCAAAATCAAAAACGTATTTTTTTTTTCAAAAAAAAATAAAAAACTAACGCCTATAGATATTATTCTAAGTTATTATGTTCATGAAACAAAAATATATATTCCGTATGTCTATCTGAAAGTTCATCATTACATATTGTCTATCCTTCAAAACAAGGTCTTAATATTTCATATATATATGTATATGAATATCATATACACATTTATATTGTGATCGATAATGACAACAATATGAATGTCTGAAGAGGAATAATCTATTTCTATCCAACTGATAATTTATAGAGGCACAAGAACAAAAAAAAATAACATACGCCCACATATGATGGACCAGATGTGATCTTTTAATTCAGTCTGTTGAATAGGATGATGTATGTTTTTTATTCTATTGTATATAAAAAATAAAATACAATAAAACATGTAACGCATGCGTGGGTTCGTTACCACTTGTGGATTGCTAGACATATATATATATATATATATTGTCATGATATATCACTCAAATAAACGCATTTTATTATTATTAACTGTTGAAAATATGATTTTCTTTTATTTATTTTTTGCTAATGAGATGAACTTATATCTTCTTCTTCTTCTTCTTCTTCTTCTTCTTCGTTGTCGTTTTGCGTCATTCGTTCAATAATATGTAATGATTTCTTGTTGACGTCACTAGTATAACTTCAACAAACGGAAGCAAAGAGAAGACCTTGTTCGCTTGCCTTAGCGTGTGTACGAATGTAAGCAAAATGCGATGATTTCTTTCTATTGATGCGCTTATATGTGACGTCGATTGTCCGTCGTGCGGTCGATGATGACGTCGTCATATTCATCAAGCGAGGAGAATCAGCATACAAAAGAAGATATATACATGCATGTTTAGGCTATATTCGAGTGCTGAAGCAAGAGATTGTTTCCTTAACTGATAATCGTCACTGAAGAAAGAAAGAAGAACAGAACTATGACGTCAAACTGATATATTCGTTGTCCCATCTAATAAAATCGTATCTTCATTTCACATAAAGTGCCTCCATAAGACACATACACATATTCTATATATATATATATATATATATATCATAGATCTTTATTTACTATAATCTATTCTTAAGTTAGATTGATTTGATCATTTTATTTAGTTATTTATTTATTTTTATTTACTAGGGTGTTCATACAGATCACGATAGCGCAGGAAAAACTTATCGTCCAACAATAACTAGTTCAACAAATATTATTCCTCCTTTATCATCATCATTAAGTTCAAAATCAATTGATATAACGACGGCGCCTAATCCACGTTCGGGGACTATTTCAACTAATACGATGGTCACATCATCGACACTTCTTTCTCCTACTATTGATACTAAACTATCATCATCATCAACAACACCATCACCATCATCATCAACAACAACACTTATATCTCGTAAAGATTCGAATGTATCAACATCAGGTGCTTTTTCTGAACCATCAAGATCATTTGGTCAAGAAGAAAATTCGTCCGATTCATTATTTAGTCATACATCACCATCATCACATTATGTTATTAAATGTAATGTAAATCCACAATCTACAAAATCAACATCACCTATGCCATTAACACCACGTGTTAAAGTAACTGTACAACAACCATCTATAACAACAGTACCATCACGTTCGGATACATCATTTGATAATGTTGTATCATCATTATCACATTTAAAAACTCCGACATCGAATGTATTACCTATTATGACAACAAGTACAGCATCGAGTGCACCTGAATTTTCTTTAAGTAATGCATCAAGTGTTGAAGATTCAGATGAATTAATATCATATGATCAATATTTATCACCACATGGAAGACAATCAAATCCTTCACCTGAACTTCGTAAAAAAACATTTGATGATTGGACTAAATTAGAACAAAGATATTTACCACGTAGTAAAAGTGAAATAAATACACTACCAACAGAACAAGCTCACCAACAAATAACTACTAGTCAAATAAAACCGGTTAGTAAAAAAATGTTAAAATTATCAATTTCGATTAAATCTATAAGAAGTCTTTTTTTTTCAATATTATTTAAAGAAATACTATATAGAATATGCAATTATTTCTTAGATTGTTTTTAGTTCTTGTTTCTATTTCTAGTATAACATATTTTGTTCAAAATACACAAAAAAAGAAAAAAAAAAGGAAACGAGTGAAGGAGTCAACAAAAAGATAATAGTCATTATAAACTATTACGACGTTCTTCTATTTTGATAGTGTACATGAGTTTTGTCGTACACACTTTTCTCATTTCATATTTTGCAAAATATATCAATCGATTACATGTGTTAACTTCCTTAGAGACTTGTCTGTCTCTCACTCTCTCATTCGCTTTCTTTTTCCTTAGTTATTCTTCACCGAGTTTTTTATCTAATCGTGCAAGTTGCCTCTCCTTCTTCCTCATAACTTTTTAATTCGCTTCACAGGAAGAATGAGAAGAGACATAAATAGTGTAGTATGCTGTTTGTAGGTTTTTTTTTTTTTTCTTCTTTTTATATACGAATGCCGTCATACCCCCAAACTTCTGCATTATAGTAGTACTTCTGTTCTTTTCCTTAGCATTTGCATCGTCGTCGTCGTTGTCACAATTCTTTTTGCCATTTCATATTCACAGAGCTACACATACATCATATAAAATGATCAGCAGTTGAGAATTGACTAATAGACAATTGCTGTCGCAGGTCGACGTTTCTTCTTTTTTTCTTTTTTGGTTTTCTTCTGTGTTTATATGTTTATGCTTTCTATCTCCTACTGTGTGCTGGAAACACATTTAAATTTTCAAATGTCATCATTACTTCATTTCTATCGAACACGTTCAGCAACAGCAATCAATCAACTTAAACCATTACAACGTATACGTTCACGTAGTCCTGATGATGTTTTACTTCGACAAAAGGTAACATGATATATTTTTTTATGTCGTCAACAATCATCTAATGGACGTATATTTTGTTTAACTTATCTCTTTGTTATAATTTCTTCATTTTAGTGTATATTCTTATAATCCCATTTACTTATATAATCTATTAGGATACCAATAATAAATGATAATTAAGGTTTCTCATTTAATAAGAATCTTCTTTTCTTTTACTTTTTTTTTTTTTTTTTGTTATTTCTTTGAGTATAATGTATTCATATTCTCTTATTATAAATAACAATTCCTATTATTAAGAATAGACAATTAGAATTTCTTTTTCTTTATATTTGACATCACTTTGAAGTATATATCGATATATTTCCGTTTATATATAAAAAAAAAGAAAAAGAAAAAGAAAACATGAATGATTGTTTTTCTAACAATGACATAAAAAAAACAACAATAAGAATCTTATCATTAAACATAGAAAAGCTTTTCTTTTCTCTCTTTATATATTAAATAATATGTTTATGTTTATATTTAGGAAGCAACATCATATGTTAGTGAAGATGACGATTCAAATAGTCGTATATCAGCTTCAAGTAATTCATCAGACATGGTAAAAAAGAAAAAATCTAAAGCAGCAACAATGTATGTCATGAACTAAAAACAAAACATACGTTTTAGTTTTTTAATCATTTCTTTTTTGTTTTTTTTTTGTAGAGCAAAAGATTTTAAATCTCGTGCAGCAAATTTAATTCGTCGTCGTACAACAGAAGCAACTTTATCTGAAAAAAGTCTTATACCAACACGTGAAGATGTTCTATCATGGGAACAATCATTTGATGCTCTTCTAAGACATCGATGTAAGAGAAAAAAAAAATATATATGTATCGAAATGAAAAAAAAAAATTCATCTTTTATTTAGATGGACAAGCCTTATTTCGTGCTTTTTTACGTACTGAATTTAGTGAAGAAAATTTAGAATTTTGGCTTGCTTGTGATGAATTTCGTTTATGTAAAGAACCAAAACGATCAGCAAAAGCTAAAAAAATTTATATGGATTTTATTGCTATTGGTGCCCCAAAGCAGGTAAATATATCTTTATAAAAATAATAATTTATTATATTAATCAATCATATATAGGTGAATCTTGATACAGAAACACGTATGTCAACTATAGCAAATATTGATAATCCACCATTGGATACATTCGATCGAGCTCAAAGACGTATTCAAGGTTTAATGGAAAAAGATTCTTATCAACGTTTTCTTAAATCTGAATTATATATTAATTTATTACGTCGTACATCATATCCTTCTCAACGACGAACAACAACAGAAATATCATCAAAATCATCTTGACAAAAATTATATCTATCTATATACATATACATATATATATATATATAAATCACCTGCTAGTTCAGGATATATTTCTTCCATCATTATTTATCGTATGACACTGGTTGTCAGTATTGAAACAATATAATAGACAATGTTTGACTGTGGATCTATTTAGAACTATATGTGTGTTTCTTACTCTCTCTCTCAGACAAAAAAAAAACGAAAACAAAATATGCCTCGATGGTTATTTCATTGTGGAAAAAACTATTCTTCTTTTTTTTTTTTCTTTTTTACTTATGTGTGTTTGTGTGTGTGTGTGTGTGTGTGCATATAAAAACAGAAAACAGAGACGGATGACAGAAAAGAAAAATATACGATTAATTGATTTAGCAAATAACTATTATAAAAAAATGACATACTTGAGATTTATATATATGTGAAAATATAAGAGATATTGAATATTTGTTAAGTCTATAAATGAAATTATGAATTTATAAAACAACCAAAAAAAAAACAAACCAAATAGAAGTTTTTAAGAGTATTTTATGGGTAATATAAAAAATAAAATAAAATAAAACTTCATGATTTTCTTATGATTGAATAATTATTTAAATAAGAAAAAACAAGATCTGTTCTTTTTTATATATTATACCTGTGTATTATCAAAAAATATTATTATTCGACAAGTCCATTCGAACGAGTGTAGACTTATACAACTAGAAACAAATAATGATAATAAACAAAGATCTTAGTTTAACTTTGGTTCATACTATGTTAACTATAAAAAAACAAAAACCTGGTTTTACTCATATTGAATTCTAATAAAAATGAATGAAATACTTTGCTTATCTGACTTTTGATCGTTGTCAAAAATAGAAATCTCTTTAATAATCAATAATGATCATTGAGATAGAGATGCACTTATTTCTGTATCTTTTCTTTCAAAAAGTTGATTATTGGGTTATAAATAGATAGTAGTTCGATATACAAAAAAAAAGAAGAAGAGAACAATTGATCTAGAATATATTATTCTTAATATCGGAACCCAATGAATCTTATTTATATTTTGATTCTCGTCCTTTGGGTTTCCGACTAGTCCAATTTACAACTATTTGTTACACAAGGGAAACCATCATTATTCAAATAGAATTAGAACTATAACGATTTCCTTGCTTTAGAAATCTCATAGTCAATGATGATGATAATGATGATTATTTTGTTCTAAAATAAAGAAAAGAAATTTTTCTTTTTTTTTTCTTATTTTTAAATAGATGAGATTTATTTTTATTGAAATAATTTATGCTGCAATTAACACATAGAAAAAAAAAATGATAAATTTAGAAAGACAGTTTTAAAGTTCATAATTATATAAAATTTTTGTTCTTGTTTCTAAAAATAAACTCATTTTATAAAAAAAAAAGACATATAAAAGTATTAAAAAAAGAAAAGTACATATCATATTATATTTAGCTTAAATTTTTGCATACAAAAAACTAATAAGTTTGATACAAATTATTTTAATATGATATTTTTAATTTAAATAAAATCATAATGAAATAATTCTATATGTCATATATCTATATCGTTGATTTCTTATGAAAACTGACAATTAATTACATTTTAGTCTTTTGATATAATTTGAATAGGCATTTTTTTCATTAAATAGTTGTATTCATTTGATTGTAGATATTCATAGAAAAATAAAAATAAACGTAAAGATTTTATCTATTAATTTTGATATGTAATCATATATATTTAAATATAGACTTTTTTGTTTTTCTCTTATTATTATCTTAATTCAATGATTTTAATCTTTGTCATATGAAAATAAATTTTATAAAATAATAATTATATTGTAAAAAAATATAAATAAAAACAATATATACATTTGGCTTGATTTAAAAATATACTTCATATATCAGAATTTATTCTTTATTGAGATGATTATGATGAGTCATTCATCATAATAATAAGTTTTTACTTTTTCTATGAATTCTATAGAACTAACTAGAACTATAATAGAAATTTTTTATATTCTTTTATAAAATTATTTTTCTCTAAATTTTATGACAACACATAATACATAACGCAATATATTCGAACATTATTTTTGTCATGCACATTATTATATTTTGTGTCCTTAAAATTTGCTTGTATATTGATATTTTTTACTTACTCTATGTATATATGTACGAAGAGTATATGCTATTGAAAGACCTGAAAATCAATCAGTAATAGTCCTATTATGGATAATAATAGTAAAAATGTTACACATACTAAAATCTAAAAACTATTCTTCAATATTTTGTCTAAAAGAAATATGTTGATAATGTTGTAAAAAAAAAGTAACTTCTCGTTTTTTTTTTTATTTTAATTATCACCGTTCTCTCCTACCCAAGTCACTGTTTATTATCATTTTATTATTTTCTTCATTAATTTGTCGGTAGAGTTCGCTCTTTTCTAACATTGAATTGAATTGGTTAATCCCATTTACCATTAAAAAATAATATGTCAATCAAACCAGACTCACATATTTATTGTTTTGATTCATATTCATATTATTATTGAAAATACAAGGAAAACCCGTCTTCCATTAATTCTTTCTTTCCAATAAACACATTCATATGTTTCATATAACAATAAAATTTGTATTTAAATTATAATAAATAAAGAATATTAATGGAAATATTTTCACGAACAACATTCTCAATTAATTATAATGAATCATTTAATTCATCTGATACTATTTTAAATCCAACAACTCCATCAACATTAGAAGTTATACAAAATGAACTTATTGATTATTTTGAAACACATCGTGAACAAATACCATTACTTGTTATTGTTTATTTATTAACAATAATATGGATTATTTATCTTATATTATATCATTCACGTATACAAGGTATTATATTATCATATATATTACGGCGATTTTTTTTTAATGATTCAACACAAATTAAATTTGATTCATTTTCAATATCATTTATATCTGGTGCAATTATGTTTAGAAATTTACATTATACAACAGGAAGTTATTTTATTTTTGTTAAAGATGGTTGTTTAGTATTTCGTTATTGGTCTAAAACAAAAACAAAACCAATAATACGTTTAAAAATTAAATTATATCATCTTGATATACAATTTTTTAGTCCAATACGTTCAAGTACATTATCAGATAATAATAATAATAATAACTTAACAGATGATTTACAAAGAGGATCAATAAACGGGTAAAAGAAAGAAAGAAAAATATTCTTTTTTTTTTTTAATTATTTCAATTAAATTTTTTTATTGTTTTTTTTTTTTGAGAATTTCAACAAAAGGTGATGATTCACAAAGTGAGAATACAGTAAAAAGTAATGAAGAAGGTTTATTTGTTAAACGTCTTCGAAATCTTTTTCCTGCAATTGAAATTAAAGTTGAACATGTTAGTTGATTTTTTTTTGTGTTAAGCATAATTTTTTGTTTTTTTTATTTTTCAAGGGTCGAATATCAGCTGGACATGATACATTACCTTATGGTTTATTAGTTCGTTTTAGTACAATGACAAGTACATTTACAAGTATATCACCATCAAGAAATGCACCAGAAATTGATTTAATGACACTTATTTATAATTTAAAATATCGAAATCTTCGTATTCAACTTTATCCAATACGAGTTTATAATGGTCAAACACGTGAAATGTAAGATATATAAGATTTTCTTTTATTTTGATTAGAAACCTTCTTAGATGTTCAATAATTATTTTTGTCTAAAGGACAACTGTGATGTTTCCCTAATACTTTATTAAAATATTAGATATTATTCTTAGCTCAAAAATTTGATTATCTACATTTTGAAGATATAACTATTGGTTATAATTTAAAATGATATCTGTAGTATAAACGTCAAATTCGATAGTTTTCCATATCGACTTTGAAAAAGTTCGTCTATAATGAGAACATGAAAATATATAATTTAGATAACTTATTCTATTGAAAAGACAATCATATTCTATGACTTATTAATTATTCTAACATTGTTTTTGTCTATAATGATATAAAAAAAAAAAACAAAATTCTCTAAGATACTTTAAATATTATTAAGAAGAATTCTTTATAATAAATATTTTTAAAAATATCAATATTCAATATATTGAAAAAAATATTTTACACAATATAAACTTGCTGAAATTTTTACAGAATTCTCAATCATTTTTATTCATTCTATTGTTTATTATTCTACAATTTTTAAATTAGCATACATAATTAGACTTTATTTTCAATCTATTAGACCACCACCTATACCAACATCAAAACCAGCAGATAGTGGTATATTTCAAGTATTTGAATGTCTTGATGGTGAACTTGAATATGAACAAGATGTACCAGGTAAAATGATTGAACGATTAGATAATAGTCCACCATTACCTGAATTAACATGGGAATTTCGAATAAAATGTCATAAAGAAGCTAAAATAGCATATGGACCATGGGCTGATAGACAAAGGTAAAATATTGTCAAAACATTTAGATAATCAATTTTTTTTTGATTTATAGAGAAGCATTATGGCAATATTTTTTTCCAACATTATTTGAAGATTGTCCAGTAACACCTGAACCAATAGTAGGACAAACACGAATATTTAAAACTGTACGTTTTAAATTATGGTTTAATTGTTCAACTATAATAGATCTTTATTTTATGTCTAAAATGGTTTGTTATTTTTATTTTCTTCATACAAAAAAAAAAGATTTATTCTTATTCGTTTTATAATAGAAACTTCAACAATTACATGCCGAATTACCTAATCAAGGTTCATATTTAGATGCATCATTTCCATTTTCAACAAATCCCGATGGTTTTGATACAAATATATTTATGAATATTAAACAACCAAGTGTTCGTACTAATCTTTCATTTTCACAATTATTTAAAGTCGATGATATTAATGTAAGATATATATATATATATTATAAATAAAAATTATTGATCTATAATGAAGTTATAAAGTTTTTAGTTTTTGAATGCTT